GAGCCCTTACCTGGAAGATGAAGGAGTGGCCCTGGGAAGGAGCCCCTCATCGCACTCTATCCGTGACAGGTCTGCGCCTGGGGGTTGGGGTTCTCTGGTGGGAGCCCCTTGAAAGCCGACCCTCTCACACCCTCACTGTTGTCTTCCCTGCAGCACTGAGAACAGTGTCCTCGCAGCTGGAGCGCCATGGGTGCTGGAATCAGGCCGTTCCCTGGCATCTCGCTATCCCCAGCACGTGAGCTTAGTGCCGTGCGTGGAGAGGGGTTGGTGTGGAGTGAGGACTCCTGGGGCTTTCTAACCATGTCATGGTACTCTTCCTCCCCTCATAGGAAGGCTTTCACTGAACAGTCAAAAGACATCCATAGTAATTCCACGTGGACTCTTTAAAGAATCAAACTGTACCAGTAAAGACTTCTTTATTCAACAAAGAAAGGGAGCTTACATTCTTGAAGGTTTTACTGCCACCCTTAGAGAGCTGTCTACAAATAATATATTGTGTATAATTAGGGGCATTATGTTACATTATGTATTACTGGTTCCCAGGCCTGACTTTACATTACCAGTCGTTTTCAACCTTCCTAATGCCACGACCCTTTAATACAGTTCCTCATGTTGTGGTGACCTCCAACCATAAAATTATTTTTGTTGCTACTTCATAACTGTAATTTTGCTACTGTTATGAATCATAATGTAAATATCTGATATGCAGGATGGTCTTAGGCGACCCCTGTGGGGTCGCGACCCACAGGTTGAAAACCGCTGCATTAGACTTTTATAAGAAATCTTTAAAAAAAAATCCCAGAATTCCAAACCATGCCCTGTTTGTTTCAGGAAAAATCCCTGACATTTGGGCTTTTAAATGCTCTTGAGTTAATTTTAAGGGGGTGGTGTGGGGAGAGGGGTCCCAGGTGCTTCTGTAGGACTACAGGTTTGGGAGCCGTCCACAGTGGAGACCCGTGAGACCTGGTGATGCTTCCTCTGCTGTGAGGAGGAGCTGGTCCCTGGGTCCTTACAGTGCCTGCGCGGAGCAAGCCCTCAGTGCTGGCTGCTTGAGGCAGTGCGGAGGTGTGAGCTCACCAAGAAGGCAGTGGCTGTCAGAAGGAAAGATAGAAGAAGACTGTGTGCATTAGGGCAGTAAAGCGTTCGATACCCAAATAAAATAAGAGGAATCCCGACTGTGATGAAGCAGTGTTTCTACTTTCCTCCAGCAGAGTTTTGGAAAGGATAACAAGTCGCCTCTTATCTCTTCTCTAACCCATTCGACACAGTGACTGAGTTTTTCCTCCAAAACGATTCTGAGGCCCAAATTTTATATCCAAAGAAAAAATTGGCTCTCTCTAGGATGATTGACAGTTTTAGGTTCCATTTCAGTCAAGGCCATCTTTAAAAGGCCAGTAAAAATTCTGCCAACTCTAGTTGATTTTCTGGAATTTGGGGCAAGGAATAGTAATTAAAATTTGTAATGCATTATAATACAGGTAATATTTTCACTTTGCATTCAGTGTTTCATTTTTTAAAATATTCCTATTTCTTTACCATCATGTTTTAGTTTGTGTTTAAATTAGGATTTGTGTATTAACCTAGTGTGTGTGTGTGTGTGTGTGTGTGTGTGTATACAAATATACATTTACTAGTGACCCAGTATATGGATTTGTGCACATTGAAAGGCAATTAATTAGAAGGTGGCTGTCGGGGTGGGACTGATTAAGACTGGCCGGACACACCCTGGAACCGACCTCCCTCAGTCTGTCCCCTGCCAGCCGCACCTGGGGTGGTGCCTTGACTCAAAGGGCATAGGCGGAGTGAGCGGGGTCCCTCCAGCAGGTAGGATCCCTCCACCTGGCCTGCAGGGATTGGGCCAAAATCAGCTCTCTGACATCCCCCGAGGAGTCCCAGAGTGCAAGAGGGCATTCTGCAAAGTTGCTGTTGTACAGGGCGTGGAACTCAAATGCAAGTGTTCAGTAAACCAGATTCGGGGCGACAGTGTCCCAGCAACAACATAACCCACGGCCGAAGGTGGAATCTCGCGGCCACATGAGGGATTGGACTCCTTCCTCTCTGGTTTCCGGGTGTGTCACCCAAGAACCACCGCTGCCAAGTCACTGCAGCTCGGCAGCTCCTGCATTGAGCATCTGCCCCCTGGTGGTCAGTGTGCATCATAGCTACCAGTCTGAAGGACACTTAGCATATTAGCTTTTTATATATATAGATATATGCACTTAGGATACTCATGTGGATAGTGAAAATGTGTACAAGGGAGTTGCTTACGTATTATAGAGTAATTCATTTTAAAGGTATTTAGTCAACACTAACCATGGACTATCAGGGATACAATGGAAACCAGACCGTGTGGCTCCTGCCACTCAGAGGACATCTGCAGAGTAATGGGGTGACCACTTGGGGAGCAGTCTCATCCTGGGGGGGAGGGTGTGCACCACTTCAAGAATTGTGTGGGTGGTGGCAGATGTGCACACTGAAGTCCCGCTTCAGTGCGTTTGCTGGTGGACGTTGCCTTGCTGTGTCCATGCAGATTCCTGTGGAGCACTGGTGCAGTAAGATCTTTCCAGAATACCGTTCATAAGTAGGACATAGGCACCTCAGAAGTAATTGTACTTAAATGTGATATAAATGGTCAATGGATAGCTTTCTTGGGGTGGTGGGTTGCTCAGGATAAAAAGCAGGCAATGTCATTGTGTGAACATGCCAGGGAGCATTGGCACCATCGTAGGCCCCTCCCTGGAAGAGTGGAGTTCCTGCTGGTGGTTTCATGGTCTACACTGAGAGCCTGTGCAGGGCACAGACTTATTCTGTGTGTAAGCGTGTAATACATCAGGGTTTCAGTTCTAAAATGTACCTGGTACCTTGTAACTTTATGCAGTTACAAATAGTGCCCAAGGGGGGGAGAGGCCAGCTCAGCTTTTTAAAAGCAACCCCCTAATGTCCTGATATGGTAATCCCTGTGCTCTCCATTTTCCTCGATCTCACACTTGCCCTGTTTCTGGGAAAGGGGGTCTGGGATAACAGGCCTGACCGCACGTGAGAGCCATTTTTCAACGGAGCGCTTTGCTGTGTGTCAGAGACCGTGCCGGTTGCCTGGCACGTGCTGTCCTCTGTCTCTAACCGGAACCGGAACCGGTGGATGGCCTCTCCCTTCCTCCGGTGAAGAATCCGGGCACAGGAACTCAGTAATCTGCACCTGTAATGTCCTGGGATCCGTAAGGGCGGGGTTTCACCTGGATATGTTGACACCAGAACTGCGTTGTTCATTTTCTTGCCGTTTCATGCCAGAGGCAGGGAGGGGGTTCCTCACCCCTCCCCTCTTCCTAGTTATTGGTCTTTAATTTTATAGTAATTTGCTCTCTGTGCACCCCTTCCTGCCTCCTGCCCTCCTCCCATGAGCTGGCTGCCTCCCACCAGGACCTGCAATGGCCACTCTTGCCCCTTCTTCATTTGGTTCTCAATACAGCAGCCAGAGGGGCCTTTCTAAAGACTCAGATCTGAGCCCATGGCTCCCCTGTTTACAACGTGGCAGTGTTCCCTCTCATCTTGGATCAAAACCAACTCCCCTTTTTTGGCCACCAGGTCCTACAAGCTCGGGCAGGCATGGCTTTGATCTCATGGGTGCCCGCCTTTTCTGCGCTCTATGCCGGTCAGGCACATGGGTCTTCCTTCTAACTTCCCACTTGAGGGCTTCTGCCATGTTGTTACCCCTTCTCAGGACACGCCCCCTCTCAGATGTCAGCCCAGGTCCTGCCTTAAGGGAAGCCTTTCCTGACCCATGCCTCGGAGGCTTGTCCAGCTCCCTGGAGTAGTCATTACATGTCGTGTGTGGTTACTTATATGTGTCCCACTACACTATGAACCCCAAGAATTTATACTGTGCCTGACGTAGTCGGTGATCCAGAAGTTTATACTAAACAAAGAATAAATGAATGAAAAATGAACAAAATAAAAAAAGCTGGAAATGGCTTGTTTGAGACTCCTGGCTGGATGTTTCTGATTATAAAAGGGAAGTTTTAGAAAGATAATTTCATTACAGTATGGAATTTGAGATTGATTATAGCTTATAGAGACTGCATTGTTTTCCAGCCATTTACTGGGACAAACTCTTAGGCAGAGAGGTAAGGGAACTTGCCCAGGGTCACAGCTGGCACTGCCAGACGCCTTTGTTCTGACCTTTGAGTTGTGTGTGGGGAGAAAGATCCTGTTTTCATCACTGCAGGCATCTCTGCTGTGCGAGTCCACAGGAACAGCATCAGCACTTGATAATATTGCTGTTTTCATGTTGGCCTTTAGTGTCTTTTAAGAACATGTGTTTCTGTGTGTTTTTTTCTTGTAATCAAGTATGTTTAGAATTTAATTGCACAACAGTCTAAGAACACACCGATTTATGGCCTAAAGATGTGCATGTCCTGAAAGGTGGTACCCACGATACGAAGCAGCTTGCCTCTGACTCCCCTAGGACTGGGCAAGGGCCACCTTCTTGGGTTCTTGGGGTCTGAGGGTAAGGACTGCTGCCAGCAGGAGAGCATATGCCTTGACCAAGCTCTGGTTCCAAAAGTGCCTGCTCACAGGGGCAGGGCAGGACAGCCAGTGGTGTGTGATGAGTGGATGCTGGAGATCCCTCAGCCAAGAATGGGCTCAGTATCCCCCAGCTTGCCTGGATTCTGTGACTCTGTAAAGTGTTAAAACTCTCTGCTATGTGAAGTTATCTCTCCTTTCTTGTCCTCTAAGCATGGTCAGCGCCACAAGCCTCAGCAGTCCCTGCACTCCGGAGGGTTGAGTGGGCCTGCGCCGGCCTGGCCGCCTGGGTCCTTGCAGAGCCCTGTGCTGTGTGAGGCAGCACTTTTGTCCTGCAGGTACAGTAGGTACTGGATTAAACAGGTCTGCTGTTGCAGACAGACACCAGGCACCTTTTAGCAGGAGCTGTGTTTGGATTGGAGTTTCTAGGGCCTTATCAGGAGCCACCCCTAGTGACACAGCCAATGCCAGGACTAACTTTGACTTTCACTCTTCGCCAAGGGCTTGCAGAACACCTTAAAGGAAAAAGATGGAGGCGCTGAGAGTTCAGATGTTCATGCCCTGTGCCTTTGAGAGCTTGCATCTGTAAGTGAAGTCTTATTCTGGAAATAATCCAGGGACCACTTAGCAGGAGTTATTTTTGTTTTAAGGGGAAGGCCAGAGAAAGGGAAGGTTTTATTGGGAGTTAAAACACTGGAACTGTTCCTTGTGGTTTTATTCAGCTTGCACTGTGCCTGTAGGTGTGCATGACAAGGAGAAGAGAGAAATTAGGGGGAATCAGAATGCTAGCCTCTTTGCCTTTCTGTTTAAAATTGAATGTTGGTGTTAAATTAATAATTTTCAAAAATGACTGCTTGCAAAAATCTCCAAACAGGGCTTGATTTATGATTACAAGGTAGACTGTAGTGTAGCTTGTTAGGAATTGGAAAGGATTTTCTCAGGAAAAAAAATGTGCTTAATAGTAACATTTGTTAGAACTGTCCCTTTGCAGACACTTGGGTTTTTCTTCTTTTTCACTCCTGACTGGAATGGTCACAGTTGCATTGATAAACATATCATTTGCATTTCTATATATTGATTGTTTTCTTTTTGAGAAGAAAACAAAATATCCAAACATCAGAATCATCTGCTGGGCATATACATGTAGAACAAATTCTGAAATAGTCAGTTTCAAAAAAAAAGTACTAAGATGGAGAAATACTAAATGGATGATACTTCTCCCCACCTTCTTTAACATTTACTTTCAATGTTAGGTGATAAGATTTGCAAATAATACTAAGAGCTGTGTTCCTGGGTGAATAGGCATTCAGGCAAATCAACTTATGCAAAAGCCACCTCTGGGCTTAATAATTATTTACTGAGCGTTCCTGGGTCATGAGAGAGGCTCTGATTAAGTCAGGAAAGCATTATGTTCAGCAGCTTGTGAAAGTGTTTAAAGATGGCAAGAATAATGGAAAAATACTAAATGTAGCTGAACTATTTTGAGAATCTGATTCTTGAAAGAAAATTCCCACAAATTTAAATGTGGCTAAAGTTCATTTTCAGTAGGTATATCTTAAAAGATCTTATAGAAGCTATTAAAATGATTTCAAATTTCTTGTGCTGTTTTTGCTGCATCGAGTTTACTTTTATAGATTTTTTCATGCTGTATGTCATTAAAACAGTTTAATTACTTATCTCTTTTAAATGGTAGATAATTTCTATGAACAAAGTATATACATATATAATTATGTCTTTAAAATGGCATCATGCTAAAAACGTTTAAATTTCTACTTTGTAAAGCAGATAATAGTGAAATGATAATCACCTCTTGTGATTCATACTTCATAAGAATGTCCTCTATAACTTAATAATTTTTAAAATGTTAATTTTAAATTGCTGGATGTTGTGAATGGCTAAACGTGTCATTCTGATGCACAGTGGTGTTGTCACCCTTGAATGAGTGCCCAAGTTCATCTTGATTTCAACTACTTTTGCTTAATTACTTTGAAGTTTTGTTCTGGTTAACAGAAATACTTGTCGTGGGAGCATGCTTCCCCTGCAGACTCGCAGAATGAAAATCTTAGCACATATTGCTGACAGACCTTGTCCACTGAGCTGTTGCCCATTAACTTCTTTGTGCCTGTTATTTCAGGGAGGGCGCACACTGTGAGTTAATTGTTTCTTTTGTATTTTCCTCTAGGAAAGAAAGGCACAGCATAGCAACATTCTAAGAGTTTGGGCTTCCTAGAAAATCACTTCAGTTTCCACTAGTTGTGAGATGCTGAGATGTTCAAAGGGTGCGAGTGCAGGAATTAAAACACATGGCGAAGAAGTACTAGCCAAGCTTTTACTGACTGTCTATGTGGGGTGTTGACCCCGGCTCATTAACACATTTGCTTCTTGTATCCGCTGGATGACAGGTACTTTTTCCTGCCTGTTTTGCAAATGAGAACATGGAGGTGTGGGCAGGTGAAGTCACCTAGCTGAAGGGGGAGAGCCAGGAGTCAGCCTGGGTGTGCCGGCTCCAGGGCCTATGCTGCTCCCTGTCTGTCCTGGGGATTTTCATTCAAGATCCTGAATGAGTTGACATTTCTTCCTCTGCCTTTTTATGGACGGGTTTCTCCAAGCCCAGATTTCTGAATTACCCAAACTTTAACTCATTTCAGCTATTGAGGGGCCACGAAGAGTCCAGTGCTACAGAATTGTCTATCAAGTGTATTTCCTTATGTTGAATTAGCTATTGATTATAAGGCAACTGTTTGAGGGAGGAGAAAACTCTATTAAATATATACATTGATTATAAGATCTGTTTTGATTTGGAAAGTCTTAAAGTGCAAAGGGAAAATTTGTCTTAGAATTAAGGAAATATGGTCTCCAGAACTCAGATCTCCTTGGAAAAAACGGTCTCTGTCACTGGATGATTTAAGCAAATTGTTTGAGTGAAGGTCTTCCAACACCAATGTCTAGTATTATCTGACTTTATGAGGTGGGGTATTTGTTAGGGTACAGACACCAAATTTACCCATTGAACATGTGTTTATTCATCCTACTATGTGCCACATATTCTTCTAGGTGCTGGGGAATAGAAATGTGAATAAAACAAAAATTCCTGTCTTCATGAATAACCAGGTATATTCCAGCTCCATCACTAAGTTTAGGGGCCTCATCGTCATGGTCCAACATGGCTGCTGGGGCTCCTGCCATTACAGTCAAATTCCAGGGAACATGATGGCAGAAGTTTCAAAGAATGCTATATCTCTCTCTTTCTTTTTAATTCTTTATTGTTGAAAGTATTACATATGTCTCCTTTCCCCCTCATTGACTTCTCCCCGCCCACCCCTGCCCCCTAGCACATGCCTTTATTCCCCTACTGTCTGTGTCCATTGGTTATACTTATATGCATGCACACAAGTCCTTTGGTTGATCTCTTACCACGCCTCCCTTCCCCTGACTTCCCTCTAAGGTTTGACTGTCTGTTTGATGTTTCTGTGTCTCTGTATCTATTTTTGTTCATCAGTTGTTCATTATATTGCACAAATGAGTGAGATCATGTGATATTTATCTTTCTCCAACTGGATTATTTTTCTTAGCATAATGTTCTCCAGGTCCGTCCATGCTGTTGCAAATGGTAAGAGTTCCTTCTTTTTTACTGCAGCGTGGTATTCCATTGTGTAGATGTACCACATTTTCTAATCCACTCATCTGCTGATGGGCATTTAAGCTGTTTCCAAATCTTAGCTATTATAAATAGTGCACTATGAACATAGGGGTGCATATATCCATTCTGATTGGTGTTTCTGGTTTCTTGGGATATATTCCCAGAAGTGGGATCACAGGGTCAAATGGGAGTTCCATTTTTAGTTTTTTGAGGAAACACCATACTGTCTTCCATAGTGGCTGCACCAGTCTGCATTCCCACCAGCAGTGCAGGAGGGTTCCTTTTTCTCCACATCCTCTCCAACACTTCTTGTTTGTTAAAGAGTTAATATTTTCACCTTTTTATATTTTGTGTTAATTACATTATGATCAGAGAATGTGCCTATAAAAACTCTACTTTTCAAAAAAATTTTAAGATTTACCTTGAGGCTGAATATATAATCATAATTAACTTTCCTTGAAAGCTATGAATTT